TTGCCCGGGAAAAGTTTCGAACTAACAAAGAGTAATATCGCGTAACTCCGGAAAGAATGGCTAATTGGCGGAAAGTCTTTGAGGCACAGCTTGCGAAAGAAAGAGGTGGATTCATCGTTTGTAAGATCTCAGCAATAAGAGAGGATCCGGGGATACTTAATTGCCGGAGGCCGCAAGAAGGGCATCGTAATTGTTCTCCGAAAGGGCAGCAATTCCTTCGACGTTCCACCTGCGTTCAAGTTGCAACGGCGAGTCGTATCAAATTATTTTCTACCGCGTTGGCCAGGCAAACTTTTGCCCGATATTATGGCGGCACGTGGTGGTAACAGCCTGCCGTCGCGGGCTCATCGTTACCGGGCATAACGGCCTCGAGGATTTTCACGGCGAAATAAGAAGCAACTAAGGAAAATCTGCTCGCAATTCAGGGTCCACTCGCGCTCTGATTAGGGAGAGACCGGTGAAACTCTCCTTGGAGATCGAACGTTCGATGTTTGCTATGAGACTATCGCATGCAAATGAGTTTTTTTTTTACAAGGATTCGATAGGTATTCTATGTTCCAAACGTTAGAAATCGGGTTGGAGACTTTTTCAATTTTGTCGAGTTTTAAATTTCCCGCCTTAATTTCTGCGCTTTGGAAATTCTATTTCAGTGATCGTTTGTTGAATGAAAAATTAACGAAGGTAACGACAGCAAACTTGGGGAAACTGGCAAACAATTCAGTTGCAGATCGATACAGGGTCTTTATCATTCGGTAACTATTGGATGCAACGTTTCTTAGGTAAAAGAAACTTTCTCAATCTCGAACTTAACTATCGTACAGCGGGTGGATAGTTTCGATGTTTGGGCGTGTAAGAGGTGATAAGATCGTCAGGTGAGTGCCCCGCACGCTTATCTGTTTGCATGTTAACTAGATAATCGCAAAGTGGGCCGTTATCGAGGCTATTTAAATGTTATTTAACCGGGCAGCCTTGGAGATTGGACGATAAGCGATAAACTTCTGCCGATCCTTGTCGCTGTGTACTTGTTTTCGAATAAACAAACCGGCCAGAAGAAAGCAAACAACTTTCAATTTCTAATCTCAGACACTCTACTGGAAATCTCTCTCCCTCCAAATTCCACCTATTTTCACCTCTCAAATTTTACAACTTCGTACACTTCGCTACTAACATCGATCCTTTTCGCGCCCTTCGTCGTCGCAGCTCGTTCTCCCCGGAAAACATTCGCGAATCCGCAAACGGGGAAGCCGGTGAAAAAGAGAAAAAAGAAGAAAATCTGTCGGAGCAGGTGTAATCTGACCAGAAGAGGAGGGATAGGAGAGCAAACGTGACGGCCAATTGGAAATCCCTTCGGTTAGATGGACGAGAAAGGAGGTCGGATGGAATGAGGATCGGCGGAAGGAGACAAAGCTTGCCGTTTCTGGGGACGGTGGCGGCTTTCAGGCGAATCGAAAACGAAGAAGGAGTCCCGGACGATTCTAGAGGGTCGTGGGGGGGCGGCGGGAAACGCGGCGGAAAAGGTGGCCGTAACAAATCCTTGGCGAGTAATCGAGGTCGTGCCTCGGCCAGGTTTTACTCTCGAACACTTAACTCTATTGCGATTGGATTCCCTGTCGTTTCTCTCTCGCGCCTTCCCTTCTCCTCTCTCTCCTTCCTCCTATTCCTCCTTTTCCGTTCCTCTTCGCTCAGGTTCATTCCTATCCCTGTGTCCCCCCGCTTTTCTCCGCCGATCCACGCCCACCGAGGCTCTGCTGGTTTCTCGCACGCGAAAATCTTATTGCAAGCGACGCGATAAAACACTCCGAAGGGACGGATTCTACGTCCTTTCCACGGACGAACTTTGATACGGAGCGCGAATGGATCAGGTGACGAAGAGATCTCGGGGATTTCCCGGGTTCCAACGACGGCTGATATCGAAACTGTATCCGTTGGCCCTGTGAGTCATAGTTTTCGCTTTTTTTTTTTCGGATCCTCCGGCGGAGTGATTTTGCAGGAAGTTTCCAGGATGTTCGTATGCGAATAAGTCGATTTCTTCGGGAAAGACCTTCCAGGGCCGAGGATGGAAGATACTCGTGTTCCATAGGTCAACGACGCGAGATGAAAGATTGATATCTGTGAAGTCGAAGTGGAAAATATTCGGTTTCGAGATACAGCTGATAATATTCGTTGCTGATGATAAGATTCTTGATAAGTTTTGATGTACGCACGTTAACGAAGGACGAATTTGCGTGGAAATAGACGTGTCACTCTTGGAGACTATCTCAATCTCACACTTCACGTTTCCATGCAAGGAATTTTGCGTACTTAACCCTTTCGTGACCAAATTACTTTTTTAAAGAATTTGATAGTTATCTACCCATCGTTGTGTCTGTAATGGATACTAAATTGAGACCAATTTTTGCTCGAACACCCAAGTGAGACGTACATTCCGACTGATTGGAAAGGGCTAATGGCATAGTGAAACTCTGTCCAAAATTCATCCGTTTGTTAACACAAACGTCTTAGAGGTCTGTGAATCACGTGGTCGAAGGGGATATCAGAAATTTCCGGGAACCGCGTGAATTTGAGAGAATCGTGAGTTCACAGAACCTGGCTGATCATAGAGGACTATACTACTTGCAGACCTAAGATTCTCACAGTTACGGTAACCCAGCCACACTTTCCTCATTCTCGATTACTCTGGGTATTTTCTTACGTCCAAGGTTTCAAGGTAGAACCATTGTTTCGAGTTCCACGAGCGTGGAATCGTTTCCATCGGTTTTCTGCCGTCCAATCGTTTCTATACTTGATTCAACGTAGCCAGGATGGTCTATCTCGTCCCAGGGGGTTCCCTACGAGGTATCGAAGCCTTGTACGCCTTGAACTCTACTTGTCGCTGCACAACAAACGAACTTTCCAGCACGAAGCGGTAGAGAGTTCGATTCAATTCGAAAACCACACTTTGTTAACACCTCGAAACTATCTTCGACGCTTCTCCGACATGTGCCACGATTATTTCACAATAATCCCTATTCTTCGCTACTCTACTCTACTCTTCGCATTTTCTCTCAAACACTCACTTTACTCTTGCACTCTTCGTTCGTAGAAACTATCTCCTCGCGGAACAACTTCGTTGCAATAACCTTAACCCCTTAACCTGTGATTTTTTTCTGACTGTGCATCTAAGCGTCAGCCACTTAACGTTTCAGTACTGTAGCAGAAGCTAATCTGTTACAGATTAATTGCATTCAGCAACCCTCAGTCTTAGAAATTAAAACGAAAGTTAGGATTACAATTAATTCCTCTTACTAATATAACTATTTTTCTCACATCTTGACCAGGATCTCTGCCACGAGCCTGTCTCGTTGTTACAGGTTAAAGGGTTGATAATGTGGCGCAAACTCACATTCCTTCTCACTCTATTACCCTACTCTTCTCACTCATTTCAAACACATATTCAGTCACGTCCCCCAAACCTTCGATCCTCGTTCATACCATAATCTCAATCACTCCCTTTACTCTTACACTCTGACCTAAACTCTTCCTTCGTAAGAAGCTCGTTGCAATAGAGCGATCAAACGGTCCACCGATTGGGCAAAAACGAGAAACCACGAATCCCCGGAATTCACACTCGTGTCAGCTGGAACTCCGCAGGAAGATGAAGCAAACCAACAAGAAGCAAGATTGCAGAGCGAACGTGTAACGTCAGCGTGCTCCCGCAACGTAGCAACGAGGCCGGCAGCTCGCTTGTATTTCAATGTCGGCGCATCCGGTCGAGCTGACGAGTGATGTGGTCTGCAACCCTCGTGCATCCGGTCGTCGCCAAACAGCACGGCCCGTGCGCCCGTTCCCGTTCTGTGTTTGCGCAGCTTCAACTTTCCTCCGACCCGCCGCCAAAAGCACCGATCTCTCCGGCTGCAAACCGCGCGTCCCTCCGACCACACGAACTGAACGAACCTGCAGACAGATCGAAGAAGAGAGTATCTCGTAGTGTCTCGTGAATTCCAACTTCTCGACTCGTTCCCAGCGCGAAAAACATGTCGGGAACATTGTTACCCTCCGCGAACCTACATTTCGAAAGCATATTTTCCGAAACTATTCTCCAACGCAAACACAGCCGGGCGAGGGATCGATTTTTCTTCTCGTTTTTTCTTTCCCCTTCCCGCGTCGCCGCTTTTGTGCAAGAGTTATTACGCTTTGTAACCCTTGAATGACGTTCGTGCGGGTGACTGCTTTTTTTTCTGTGTTTTCCTGGGAGAGACGTTTGTAGAGTCGGGTTAACCGGGATTTCGCGAAAGCCAGAGAGGTTGTTTGTTAATGCCGCAGCTTTGGCCGCGG